GAGGGGCGCGGGCTGCGGGGGGTCGCGTGGCCACCCAGCCGGGCCTGCGGGGGGTCCGCGTGACAGAGCCGGGCCTGCGGGGGGGTCCGCGTGGCCACCCAGCCGGGCCTGCGGGGGGTCCGCGTGACAGAACCGGGCCTGCGGGGGGTCCACGTGGCCACCCAGCCGGGCCTGCGGGGGGTCCGCGTGACAGAGCCGGGCCTGCGGGGGGTCCACGTGGCCACCCAGCCGGGCCTGCGGGGAATCCGCGTGTCCACCCAGCCGGGCCTGCAGGGGGTCCGCGTGGCCACCCAGCCGGGCCTGCGGGGGAATCCGCGTGGCCACCCAGCCGGGCCTGCGGGGGGTCGCGTGGCCACCGAGCCGGGCCTGCGGGGGGTCCGCGTGGCCACCCAGCCGGGCCTGCGGGGGGTCGCGTGGCCACCGAGCCGGGCCTGCGGGGGGTCCGCGTGGCCACCGAGCCGGGCCTGCGGGGGGTCCGCGTGGCCACCCAGCCGGGCCTGCGGGGGGTCGCGTGGCCACCCAGCCGGGCCTGCGGGGGGTCGCGTGGCCACCGAGCCGGGCCTGCAGGGGGTCCGCGTGGCCACCCAGCCGGGCCTGCGGGGGGTCTGCGTGACAGAGCCGGGCCTCCGGGGGGGTCCGCGTGTCCACCGAGCCGGGCCTGCGGGGGTCCGCGTGGCCACCCAGCCGGGCCTGCAGGGGGTCCGCGTGCAGCGCCCCCTGTGGGTGAGGGCCAGGCCTGCAGCAGCGCCCCCTGTGGGTGAGGGCCAGGCCTGCAGCAGCGCCCCTGTGGGTGAGGGCCCGAGCCTGGAGGGTCCTCCCACAGGGACTCAGCACGCCCCCTCCCCCGTGTTGCTGAGGCGTCCACACCAGGGAGACGGGGTGCAGCGCCCACAGCACACGGGCGTCAGGAGAGCTGGAGACGGTGGCTGTGCCGGGGCCTTTGAGCCGGGACCTCTGTTGTCATCCCCGTGGCAAATTCCTGGTGAGGGCTGGGCGCTCAGCCAGGCCCCGAGGCGGCCGTGCAGGGGTGCAGGCTGAGGGCTGGGGCAGTGGCTCCCCGGGGCCCCCAGGCTCAGGGGTGGGGGCTCAGAGCACGGCTGCTCTGGGCAGCCAGAGGTCACGTGTGTGTCAGCCAGCGTGGACGCTTCTCCTCCAACTGCTTCCCCGCTGCTTTGGCATGCAGCCATTGTGCGCCTTGTGTATACACCCCTGGAACAGAACAGCTCCCGCCCTGTCCAGTGTTGACCCACACTTCCAAGAGAGGCCGAGTGAGTTCTAACGGGGGGGTCGTTGGCTGTGCTCAGGACAGGAGGCGGTGACCCCAGGCCCTCCACAGGCAGGCGACGGGCAGCACAGCAGGGCCGCGTCCCTGTCACTGTCAGGCTCCATGGAGTGGCACAGATCCCTGGGGTGCGGAGCCCAGCGGAGGGCGGGCCTGGCACTGTGGGGAGGCCACCAGCTTGAGACGCCCACATCCCACGTCAGGCGCAGGTCCCAGCCTCCTGCTCACGCACAGCCCGGACGCAGCGGGTGAACAGTCAGAGAGCTGGGCCCTGCCACCCACGTGGAGCCCCGGATGGGCGCCAAGCTCCTGGCTGTGGCGTGAACCAGTGCATGGAAGACCTCTCCCTCTCTCTCTGCCTCTCAAATAATTTTGATTTCAAAAACCAGAAATAACCTAAATGTCCACCTATGGGAGAAGTAATTAGCACCTCTCGGTGCACCTGCCGACGTGACGGTGTGCGGCTGGGGTGGCCGTCTGTCTACTGTCCCAGTGCCACCGCGGTTAAACGGCTGTGCTGAGGCAGCAGGCACCCCTGGGCGTGTCCCCGGCTGAGGGAGCAGCTTCCCTAGGGAGAAGGAAGTCGGTCTCCTCGCTGGGCCGTGGGGCACGCCGGCTAGTCGGTCCCCACGCTTGTGCCGTCTCTGTGGCGTCCCAGGCCGCACACGGCAGGGCCATTCAAGGGAGCAGGGACTTTGCCCCGTCTGTTTGCCTGTGCAGCTCCCGGGGCTCACAGCAGGCTGTCCACTCACTGTTTACCCTGCCCTGCCCCAGCTAAGGTCGCCTGTCCCCACGCCCCCACCCCTGGGCCAGACCAGACGTCATCCACCGAGCGCAAAGGCCGGGGTTGGAATTTAACCCCTAGGCGGGGGACGGTGGGTGAGCTTCTGCCCCAAGCCCCTGTGCAGCTGTTGCAACCACAGTGAGAGTGGACGGCGGGCCTGGGGCCACGCGGGACGATGCTGAGGGCCAGGCTGCTGGGCAGGGTCCTCTTGTCGAAGCAGATGCCGGTGCCACTCTGGGGACAGCGGCCGGGGCCGGCGTGGCGGAGCTCACAGCACCCCTGTGCTCACCGGGGCAGGAGCGGCGCTTGTGAGTAGACCCTGAACCCCTGAGACGCGCCCTGGTAGTGGCCGACGGGAGAAATCGTGAGCAGGAGCGGGCGTGCAGAGTCCACGGCTGGCTGGCCCTCCACGGCCACCTCAGTCCACCTTCCACTGCTGCCACCAAGCCCCCAAGGGTGCCTCAGGGGTGCAGAGAACGGGTGGACTTGGTGCACAGCCGGAGCTGCCGACTCCACGGTGTGGCCACGTGGCTCGGGACTTCCGGGTGGGGGGTGCCTGTGGGAGAGCTCACGTGGCAAGAGGGGACCAGGCACCGGGAGGCCACCATCGCAACAGTCCCTGCTGAGGGTGACACCACGACCTCGTCACCCCTCACTGGGGCCTTGGGGACTGAGCGGGCGCTCCCGGGAGCCGGGCTGTGGTCACTCGGCACCCAGGCCCAGTGCCCCTCACTAGCGCATGAGCCGGGGCAAGCCGCCTCACTGCCCCGAGCCCCAGCGTCCTCACCCAGGACATGGACGTGACTGGGTTTGTCTGGTGGCCGTGGAGGGACCACACAGCCTGTGTAGCAAGGCTGGTACCTCCTAGGCTCCGGGTGCAGGTCATCCGCTGTTCTGGGGGAGCCGTGGCTGTGTGGGGGAGGGGACTGTGCAGGGCTCCGCCCCGGGGGACACCCGGCCCAGCTCAGGGAAGATTTCCAGCAGAAAGGCAGAAAGGGAAAGACAGGGAGAGAGAGAATCTTCCATCCACTGGGGCATTCCCCAGATGACTGCAACAGCCAGGGCTGGGCCAGGCCAGGCCAGAGCCAGGAGCTCCGTCCAGGTCTCCCACGTGGGTCAGGGGCCCAAGGACTCGGGCCATCACTGCTGCTTTGCCAGGCCGTGAGCAGGGAGCTGGGTCGGAAGTGGAGCAGCTGGGGCCTGAACTGGGCTCTCAGGACACCGGCCACACACCAGCGACTGGCACCGCATCGCGGGTCCCCACCCCTGAACTAAGCCCCGCCACGTGCTCGGCCGGAAGCGGCAGATCTGAGTCCCGGCTCCACTCTTGCATTGTCTTTACCGACACTCTAGAAGGCGCCATTTGGGCAACTTTGTCAAAAGGACCACGAACCCTGGTGGCTCTGCCTCGAAGCACCAGCCGTGCGGGTCATTCGGGCAGAGCCTTCCCTGACCGGGGACATCACGCTGGGGACGTCACAGCGGCGGAGGGGGCGTTCACACCACGGCAGCCGGCACACGCCTGCGCGAGGTTCCGACTCCCTGGGGAGCTGGTTGCTAAACCCTGACCAGCACCCCCCACGCGTGCTCTCCAACATGCTGATGGGCTCTGGGCTCTCACATCCATGGTCCTCCACGCAGGCTGGGCTGGGCGAGGCTGGGTTCCCAGCTGGGCCATGTCCCCCAGGCCCCCTTGACCAGAAGCCGCCCACGGTGTGGTCCTCTAGGGACGAGGGATGGGTGCTCAGAAGACCAGCCCGTCCATCTGTGCAGTCACAGCCCAGGCAGGTCCCCGGGGCAGGCGACTGGCACAGTGGCGGCCGTGCCCCTTGGGACATCCACCATCCAAGGCTGACTGCCTGGGTTCCACTCCCAGCTCCACTTCCAGTTCCAGCCGGCTGGGCCCCTGCACCCACGTGGAGACCAGGATGGAGTTCTGGGCCCCTGGGTTTGTCCTGGCCCAGCCCCGGCTGTCGCAGCCATTTGGGGAGTGAACTAGATGTGAGATCTCTCTCCCTCCCCGGCCCCCTGTAACTCCACCTGTCAAATAAAATAAAAACTTAAAAAAAGAAAAAAAGATGTGGCGTGGAACGGATAATACCAAATGTAAAGGAATTGCAAGGTAATGTGTACGGCCGGATCCTTGTTCATTAAAACAGTCTCTGTGTGAGGGTCCTTGTCCCCCCACCCCCGCACCTCTCCTGTCCTGAGTTTCGCTGTCCCCAGTCCTCCTCAAGTTAGGTTTGTGCAGCCGAGTTGGCAGCCCCCGCCGGCTGTAGGGAAGGCGGAGGCGGCAGGCGGGCTCGGGGGGGCTTCCAGCAGATGTACCTGCGAGCCGTGTGGTTAGAGGGGCTCTGTGGGGAGAACAGACAAGGGCACCCGGGCGGCTGGGGCAGTGCTGAGAGGAGGCGGGAGCTGGACGAGGGCGCTCAGGCCCTGCCGCGGGCTGGGCCAGGATGCAGGGTGCACCTGCAGAGCCCTGGGGGCCGGCCCCTATAGCCACTTGAGTGAGTCCGCTGTGGGTCAGGGGTCCCCGCGGGTCTGTAAGGTGGGATCCCGGGTCTGACATGTTTCCCTGGTGCCAGTGACCTCAGGGGCCGCCGGCTGGGCCCAAGAACCCAGAGGAGAAGCAGGGAGCGCAGGTATCTCAGGAATGTCTCCCTGGCACGACTTCTAAACTCAGAGAAAACACCTGACAGCCGTAGTCTTGGGAGGCTGCGGGTGAAAATCTGTTCTGTCGTCCCTCGAAGAGTCTGACGCTCTGGCAGTGAGGGCCCGAGCACCCCCAGGTGGGAGGCGCTCCCCACTCTGCAGGCCGCCACAGTCCCCACCTCTCCCTACTGCCTCCCTGGCCCCATGTGAGGGCCGCCTGCCCACAGCGGCTTCCCCGCCTGGATCTAACAGTGCAACATCAGCCTCAGGGCGCCCCTGTGGGAGGGGCTCGGGGGGCCCCCAAGAGCCAACGAGGAAGAGAAAAGCTGTCCAGGCCTGGGCCAGAGCAGCCAGAAGCCACAGCTGGAGACTCTCGGGAGACCCGGATCTCGGGGAGACCCGTGGGGATCTCGGGAAAGCAACCCCGGCTCCCCGGCCCTTGGCTCGCTCCTCTGCAAGGAGCAGGCAGGAACGCGGCCCAGGCTGGCACCTGTGTGCCCAGGAGCCCATCAGGAAGCCGATGACCCAGGCAAGTGCAGAGAAGTGACAGAGCCGTCATCACAGATCTCGCCGCAACACACCGGAAGCAGTCCCAGTGTCGTGGGCAGAGAACTGATCTTTTTTCTTTCTTTCTTTTTTTTTTTTTTTTTTTTTTTGACAGGCAGAGTGGACAGTGAGAGAGAGAGACAGAGAGAAAGGTCTCCCTTTGCCGTTGGTTCACCCTCCAATGGCCGCCACAGCTGGCGCACTGCGGCCAGCGCACCGCGCTGATCCGATGGCAGGAGCCAGGTACTTACCCTGGTCTCCCATGGGGTGCAGGGCCCAAGTACTTGGGCCATCCTCCACTGCACTCCCGGGCCACCGCAGAGAGCTGGCCTGGAAGAGGGGCAACTGGGACAGAATCCGGTGCCCCGACCGGGACTAGAACCCGGTGTGCCGGCGCCGCAGGGCGGAGGATTACCCTAGTGAGCCACGGCGCCGGAAAGAACTGATCTTTTTTTAAAGAGTTATTTATTTATTTGAAAGTCAGAGTTACACAGAGAGAGGAGAGGCAGAGAGAGAGAGAGAGAGAGAGAGAGAGAGAGAGAGAGTCTTCCATCTGCTGGTTCACTTCCCAACTGGCTGCGATGGCCGGAGCCGTGCTGATCCAAAGCCTGGAGCCAAGAGCGTCCTCCAGGTCCCCCATGCGGGTGCAGGGGCCAAGGACTTGGGCCATCTTCCACTGCTTTCCCAGACCATTAACAGGGAGCTAGATTGGAAGTGGAGCAGCCAGGACATGAACCGGCACCCCTGTAGGATGCCGGCACTCTGGGTGGTGGCTTTACCCGCTACGCCACAGTGCCAGCCCCGCCACATTTTCTTGGATTTTGTGTTATTTACTTGGGAATCACAGAGACAGAGAGGTCCTACGTGCTGGCTCACTCTCCAGTACCCACCGTGGCTGGAGCCGGGCCACCCACGCCAGGGACCTGGAACTCCATCCAGCTCCCCCACGGGTGGCGGGAACCCAGCTCCTTGGAGCATCCCTGCTGCCGCCGGCTCTGCGTGAGCCGGAAGCTGAGTATCACAGGCAGGTTCTGGGGGTGGGAGGCGGGGCCCGAGCTGCTGGGCTGGACCTCTCCCTGGGAAGCTGCTCATTTGTGCACCTCACCCCGAGCCTCAGGAAGACGGAGGCAGCCGCCACTCTGCCTCCCGTTCTGCCTGCCGGGGCTTGGTTTCCCCGGGTAGGAGGAGTCGCAGGACAAGCGGCTCCCGCGGCCGCCGGCCTTCAGATGGGAGTCAAGGAGACAGCGGCCACACGGGCCCTGCCAGCCACCCTCCGTCCCCCGCCTCCTGGCTCCTGCCTGGACTTCCCTCGGCCACTCTCAACACACAGACACAGAGCAGCACTGGCCGCGGCGGAGCGGCCACTCCAGGTGGGCAGAGAGTCCGCGTCCCTGGACGGTCTGGAGTGACCAGGGAAGGGGGCACTGCATCGCGGGCTTGGCTACAGCCAGGGCTGCCCGTGGGTCAGCTGCCCCGGGCGGGGTCCTGTGGGGGCACACACTGGGGAGATTCTGCCGTCTCCATCCAAGACGGGGGATGGCACAGAGACTCAGGCGGGGTCTCTTCTCCCTCTCCAGTGCACCCTCTCTGGACGGGCCTGGGCCCCAGGCCGGGGGGCACCCGGCAGTCCCCCATCGACATCCAGTGGGGGGACAGCGTCTACGACCCCCACCTGGAGCCGCTCAGGGCCTCCTACAGTGCGGCGTCCTGCCGCTGCGTGTGGAACACCGGCTACCTCTTCCAAGTGGAGTTTGACGATGCCACTGGCGACTCAGGTGAGCCCGCGCCGTTGCCCCTGCGAGTGGGGTAGCTGGGCTGGGGGTGGGGCGCAGCCTTCCTGGCGCTATCGGGGGCCCGTGTGGGGCTCACTGGGGCTCAGCGTGTGCCGTGCCCACCGCCCGCTCCACGCAGCAATGCTGATGGTGGAGGTCCCTCCCGCTGGCTGGGCACCAGCCTCCTGTCCCCTGTTCCCTGGGACCCGTTCCCGCACTCCCCGAGCACAGGACGCTGGCAGCGCAATGGCGGTGGGCGAGTGGGAGCAGGCGGTGGCTGGGCCAGGGCTGGGCCAGCGGAAACCCGTCAGATCTTTCTTGGGGAAGTTCAAAGGGAATCTGGCGGCCTCCGGCAAGCCCTGGCACAAGCCGGCGCAGCAGGTAAGAGCCCGCTGAGAGAGGGAGAGGAGAGCAGAGCCGGCCGTGCAGAGCTGAGGCCCCGCTCATGGTGGGGTCTCCAAGTGCCGTGGGGCCTGCAGCCAAGACCGCTCTGCTCGGCCACGTCCGAGGGCTGGTTCCCGTCTGTCCTTTGCTCCCGAGAGTTGTGGGAAGGCCAGTGAGAAGGGATGAAGGATGGAGGAGGAATGGCCAGGGGGGTAGTGCTGGACGGTGCTGGCCCCTTGAGTGCAATGCAGCTCAGGCGGGGTCCCCGTGAAGGGGAGGTCGACAGTGAGACCTGGAATTCGGCCCCTGCACCTGGTGGTCCAAGCATCGTGCTCTGTAACCCGGGGGTTCGTCCTTGGCGAAGGGGGGCCCCCTGAGACTGGGAGATGTCGACAGAAGAGTGGGTGACGCACCCGGCATTGCTGGGGAGGAGGGGTTAAGCTGTGCACAGCAGTGAGTGACGCACCCAGCATTGCTGGGGGGGGGGGTTAAGCTGTGCAGAGCAGTGGGTGATGCACCGGCACGGCTGGGGGGGTTAAGCTGTGCAGAGCAGTGGGTGACGCACCGGCACGGCTGGGGGGGTTAAGCTGTGCAGAGCAGTGGGTGACGCACCGGCATGGCTGCGGGGTGGGGGGTTAAGCTGTGCAGAGCAGTGGGTGAAGCACCGGCATGGCTGGTGGGGGGGGGTTAAGCTGTGCACAGCAGTGGGTGACGCACTGGCATGGCTGGGGGGGGTTAAGCTGTGCAGAGCAGTGGGTGACGCACCCGGCACGGCTGGGGCGGGGGGCTAAGCTGTGCAGAGCAGTGGTTCACGCACCCGGCATGGCTGCGGGGTGGGGGGGTAAGCTGTGCACAGCAGTGGGTGACGCATCTGGAATGGCTGGGGGGGGGTTAGGGTGTGCACAGCAGTGGGTGACGCACCGGCATGGCTGGGGGGGGTTAAGCTGTGCAGAGCAGTGGGTGACGCACTGGCACGGCTGGGGGGGGGTTAGGGTGTGCACAGCAGTGGGTGACGCACTGGCACGGCTGGGGGGCGGGTAAGCTGTGCACAGCAGTGGGTGACGCACCGGCACGGCTGGGGGGGGTAAGCTGTGCACAGCAGTGGCTGACGCACTGGCATGGCTGGGGGGGGTAAGCTGTGCACAGCACTGAAGAAGCGCCGTCGGAGAAGTCCGCGCTAACGTGCTTTAGGGAGAAACCGCAGGGATCTCGAAGTGTGTTTGCGCCGAGATGGACTTTCGTTCCACTTTCCGGAAGTTCTTGGAGTGTGTGCACGTACATCCCGCGCGCCCTTATTAAGCTGCTTCCTCGGGTCCTGGGTGCGCACGTCGCGGGGGCGGAGGAGACCGGAGGCCCCTGGCGCTCGTTCCTGCCTGGTCCTGGAGGCTGAGACGCAGACGTGGCCCCAGCTTCCAGAGTGGGCCTGTTTCAGCTTTGACCACCAGGGGGCCGCCGCTCCCGCTCTTGCTCCACTTCAGTTCCAGACTCCTGGCGCCCAAGCGCGTGGCTCTCCTCCGGGCCATCAGCAGGGAGCTGGAGAGAACTGGAGCAGCCGGGGCGCGACCCGGCGCCCGCACGGGTGCTACGTTGCAGGCGGCTGTACCCGCTGAGTCACAGGGCCAGCCCAGACTTAACAGACTGAAGCGCAGGCTGAAGTAGTTAAGATACACAGTTTATCTGCTTTCTGGGAGGCAGGAGGTGATGGCTCCAGAGTGTGGGTCCCTGCTACCCACGGGGAGCCCACACTGAGGTCTGTGCTCCTGGCTCTGTCTGCTGCAGGCTTTTGGGAAGTGAACCAGCCCACAGATCTCTCCCTCACACACACACTTTCAAATAAGTGAAAATAAAGAATTTTTTAAGAAATAAGATACACACTGTCTGCCGGCGCCACGGCTCACTAGGCTAATCCTCCACCTTGCGGCGCCGGCACACTTGGTTCTAGTCCCAGTCGGGGCGCCGGATTCTTTCCTGGTTGCCCCTCTTCCAGGCCAGCTCTCTGCTGTGGCCCGGGAGTGCAGTGGAGGATGGCCCAGGTGCTTGGGCCCTGCACCCCATGGGAGACCAGAAGTACCTGGTTCCTGGCTTCAGATCAGCGCAGTGCGCCGGCCACTGGAGGGTGAACCAACGGCAAACAAAGGAAGACCTTTCTCTCTCTCTCTCTCACTGTCCACTCTGCCTGTCAAAAAAAAAAAAAAAAAAAAAGTCCTAGGCCCTGGGCCGGGAGCACGCCCGGCAGGTTCGGGGAACAAGCAGAGGCTGCGTCAGGGAGCCGAGAGGCGGCGGTGCGGGCCTCTGCCCTGGCACGGGGCCCGGCGTCGTGGCGGCACGGCAGGTGGCACAGCGCAGGCTGCTGCCGCTCCTGGAGTCTCTGATGGCGCTGGGGCTGCGCGGAGGGCCCGGGCGCTGCATCCTGTCCTTGGGAGTCGTCCGGCGCTGCACCTCCCCGTGCAGCCCGGCTCATCGTGGAAGAAGGCTGTGACAGAAGCTGCACTCCCGGCTGCGGGCTACATCACGTGGCCGCCACAAGCCCCCGAGTGTAGACAGCAGGTTATCAATGCGGCCACAGGGGTTGTGCAGCGTAGAATGGTCTGGGCTGGGAGCTGGATCCGCGTTGCCTCGCCTGGCGGGCAGCCCCTGGTGCGCACCCCTGGTGGCAGCTGCCGAGGCTGGGAGGCCGGGTGTCTGGCGAGCTCGGGCCAGACCTGCCTCCTCGCCCACTGGTCTCCCCATGGTCCAGGGGTCCTCCTTCCCTCTGAAGATAGCAAGGACCCCGGTCCGAACCTTGGCTCTGGTTCTTGCTATCTCTGCTTCTCTGTCCCTCAAGCAGACCTCTAGAAAACTGCTCTCCCCTCGTGGCCTCGGAACGGACGCCACCCCCGCAGCCTGCAGGGGCCAGCAGAGCCCCCGCACTGCCCTCCCTCCTTCCCCCGGCTGTCCCCACCTCTGTGTCCCCTGCATCTCCTCGTCCCCGTGCACAGGGACCCAGCGCCCCCGTGCTCCTATATCTCTGCTCCCCCTGCTGCTGGGGACAGTGAGTCACCCTGAGTGGCCTCGCCTCCTCCTCCCAGCCCGGGGCAGACGAGAAGGCGAGGGCCAAGGAGGCCCGCGTCCGTCAGCCTCCTCTGTGGGTCCCTGGCCACCTCCTCCAGGCGTGCGGGCAGCCGTCTGGGGAAATGCTGCCCTGGGCATTCCCACGCTGGGAATGCCACCTCGGGTGACAGCGACACACAGCCGTCCCGGGAGCCAGACTGAGGGGCTGCCCGCAGGACACCCCCCCCCCGCCTGCCTAGTGCGTGGGCGGAGAGGGCAGGAAGGGGAGGGACAGGTGGTGGGGCTGAGAAGACCCTTAGTGGGGGCAGGGTGCTGAGGTGGGAGGGGCAGGGAAGTGGGGGTCTTAGAGCAGCCGTGGCATGGCCGGGGAGGTGGCGTGAGGTGCGGAGCAACCGCGGTGTGGCCGGGGGAGGTGGCGTGAGGTATGGCGCAGCCGTGGCCGGGGGAGGTGGCGTGGGGCGTGGGGCAGCCGTGGTGTGGCGCAGCAAATGTGCCTGCCTCGCCCATCCTGGCGAGAGCACAGACTACAGAAGATGGCTGAGGGGCCAGCGCCAGCTGTGGTTGCAGTTGGACAGTCTGGCACCTGCCAATCCTGTCGCCCGACCGTGCCTCGGTGAGCCACTGCACCTGCTGGGGAAGAAGGCCGGGGTGTGGACGCAGCTGCCCTGGGGATAGGCACTGCGGCCTGCAGGGGCTGGTGGCCAGGCACAGACATAGCTGCCTTGGGCATAGGCACTGCGGCCCGCGGGGGCTGGAGGCCGAGCACAGACGCAGGTGCCTTGGGGATAGGCACTGCGGCCCGCGGGGGCTGGAGGCCGGGCACAGACGCAGGTGCCTTGGGGATAGGCACTGCGGCCTGCAGGGGCTGGAGGCCGGGCACAGACGCAGGTGCCTTGGGGATAGGCACTGCGGCCCGCGGGGGCTGGGCCACCCTCGGCCTGCCCACTGCCACAGCAGGGGGCCGGGGACGCCGAGACCCTGGCCGGCGACAGCTGCTGCTCCTGAGTCAGCTGCAAAGCTGCTTCGGACAGTCGTGGCAAATGGAGCTAAAAGATGGGTGTGTGTCGATCCAAGAAACGTGCAAGCGTGCGCAGCTTTTCTGTCTGTCACAGGTTCCCCGTGGATGTGTCAAAGATCCCTCATGGGCGTGGATTTCGGATTTTTTTTTTTGCACCCAAATAAATGTTAATTCTGTTTACCACAAGTTCCCACACTTGTGGCTCTTGTTTATTTCTCCTGTTTCAAGTGCACGTGCCCAGGGTGGTGCCAAGAACCTCATTCCCACGTGACCTGGTGCTGTTGCTAGGATCCTCCCCACTCCAGAGGAGAGACTGAGGCCGGGAGCCGGCAGGCGGGCTGCACCACGCCCACAGGAGGGACTGTGCTCGGCTTTCCTGCCCTGACTAGCCAGGCACGCGGCGGGCGGGCGGGCTGTCTTGGCCGTCAGATCTCACTTCGGAGGCATTGTCACTGGGACTGCTCTCCACGCACTGCCCCATGTGACGCGGACGAGGCCCTGTGAGCACCGCCGGCACTGCCTAGTTTGGAAGGACAGGGTCCTCTCCCACTGCAGGAGCCGGCAGGATGGAGCCACGCCCGGCACAGCCGCCTGCTGCCTCCCACTTCTCCGCCAGGGGCCGCCCCAGGCCAGCACAAGTTCTCCGTGCCCTACCGTGCCCCCTCCTGGGAACTCGGCTGCGCCCATCCTGCCTTGCGCCTCACCTCGTGTGGTGTTTCTGGCCTTGGTGTCACCTGCCTGTCACGGAGCTGGGGAGATTCGAGTGCCTTTTCAATTTACATGTCACTTGCCTGGTCCCCAGCCCACGTGGCCGCTGCTTCAGGCAAGTGCCCGGTTCAGAGACAAAGGACCGTGGAGGAGATTAGGTCCCACCCCTGCACACCCACCTCCCCAGTGACAGGTGCCCCGGGTTCAGGAGGCCCCAGCCCCATTCACCTGTGCTGAATGGTTTTCCTGCCGCCCCACCCCGTCGCACGGGTGCACAGGCTCAGAGAGGCTACGCCACACACCCAGGGTCACACAGCAGCTTGGAGGCAGGGCTGAGCCAGCAAAGCCAGGACTGCACTGAGGATTGTCCTTCTCCCAGGCTGCCAGACACGCTCTCTCACGCGTCCCATGGGAGTGCCTGAGTCTCCCCCTCAGTCACAGATCGGTGCACGTTGGTGCCTCCAGGGCTCTGGGGCCGGCTGGTGCTGCAAACCCCCTCCTCACCACACACACGGGCGCCGGGCAGAGGCGAACACCGGGATGGCCGCGGGTGCAGGCTGTGGTCCTGGGACCGCCCAGGGTTCTGTTCACACGTTGAAAGACAAGGTGTAAGGCGCCAGGTTGGGGTCAGACCTGGATTCGAATCCTCGTTCCCAGAGCTGCCCTGGGGGTTGCTGCCCCTTCCTCACTTAACCTCTCGATGTCCCCCTGCCAAAGTCACGCAGGGGCCGGGACTGGACCAGGGCACATCCAGGCCACGGCAGCTGCCTCCTGCTGCTCGTGCCTCCTGTGGGGAGAGACGACCCCCGAGCACTGTTAGCCCCTGGGCACCCAGCGCGCCCACGTAAGCGCTCCAGCTCCGGCTCAGCCCCGGGAAGGGAGGTCCCTGGCCCAGGGGTCCACGCTGCCACTCTGCCCGCCGGCCCAGCCTAGCCTGGCCGTCCCAGGGGTGCTTGGCAAGCGCTCCAATTAAAAATGAGATGTCAGAGTAGCAATTGCTGATGGCAATCTGCAGGCGACAGTGTGCAGCCGGAGATAAGATAAGCCACAGCATCGGACCGCACCAGCCGGGGTTCCCAGCCCTCTCCCCGGCCCTGTGCAGCCGTGATCTCTGGGGATGGCAGCCGGGAATCCACAGCCTGGCGCCGCCAGTTCCTCAATGATGGATGCTCAGGTCTGAGCCCGGGCGTGGAGCTACCTGAGTTCTCGGGGAGACCGAGCGGAGCCCCGTGCCCACAGAGCAGAGCTGCCCTGGGCCTGCTGGGTGCGCGGCTGACTTCCAGGTGAGGGCTCCATGGCACCCCTCGAAAGGGGCGTGCGGTGAGCCTGGCCGTGCAGTGGGAGGCGGCGGGGGCTGCCCGGTTACCAGAACTGGGGGAAGGCTGCCTGTTCTGCCCCAGGGTTTGTGTGAGAGTCTCGCTCGGCTGGCACTGCTTTGTGGGGTCCTTTGTTGGCGGGATTTAAACTGCTTGTTATTATCAGTGTTTAATTCAGAAGATGTCTTTTCTAAGCAAAGAAGGGTGTGGAAATCTCGCAGAGGTCCTTACCGCCACCTAGTGGAGCTCTGGGAACCTGCACCCGTCCCGGCACTTCGTGGACCTACTGTGGGCGGCACAGGCGGCCGGGGCGCAGTGGAGGTGAAGGGATCCAGAGACTAGCAAGACTAGCGGTGGGCAGGGGTCAGCTGCCCGTTTCCTTCGTCACAATGCCTGGGTTTGATTCCCGGCTGCGGCCCCTGACTCCAGTCTCCTGCTATCCCAGGAGGCCGCAGTGAGGGCGCAGGCAGCTGGGTCCCTGCCACCCAGTGGAGACCTGGAGGGCTTCTGGCTGGCTTAGCCCCGGCCTCAGTGGGCGTTGGCGAAGGGAGCCAGCAGATGGGAGTGTCTGTGCCTCTCAAGTAAATGTGTGATTTCTTAAATTCAATAGCAAATGTGGACAGCTGGGGTCCGTGTTGGGGTGTGCCAGGTAAAGCCGCAGCCTGCAGTGCCGGCATCCCATGTGGGCGCTGGTTCAAGTCCCGGCTGTTCCACTTCCGATCCAGCTCTCTGCTATGGTCCGGGAAAGCAGCAGAAAATGGCCCAAGTCCTTGGGCCCCTGCACCCGCGTGGGAGACCCGGAAGAAGCTCCTGGCTTTGGCCTGCCTATTACAGAGATTTGCGGTGTGACAGATGGAGATCTCTCTCTCTCTCTCTCTCTCTCTCTCTCTCTCTCTCTCTCTCTCTCTCTGACTTGCAAACAAATCTTTAAAAGAAATAGCAAACGTGGATGGTGCCCGGGCCTCACCGCATCCTGGGGCAGAGCGGGCGACTCCCCATTCTTCTGCCTCCTCGCAGGAGTCAGCGGCGGGCCCTTGGAAAACCACTACCGGCTGAAGCAGTTCCACTTCCACTGGGGAGCCACAAACGCGTGGGGCTCTGAGCACACGGTGAACGGCCACGTGTACCCTGCCGAGGTGTGTAGCCGCCATCCCCTCGGCACGGGTGCGGTGCGTCCCGTAAGCCGGGCTCCACTGCCCGGGAGGGAGGGTCTCCCGGGCCTGGGTCTCTCAAGGTTCAAGGCAGAGTGGTTGGCAGCCCCTGCTGAGTTGGGGGGGCACCACAGGTGCTCCCAGAGCCCAAGCTCACAGCCTCTCTGATGCCGTGTGCCGGCAGCCGTGGTCTCCAGGAGCTCCCCGAGGGTCTCTGCGGGGGCTCTGAGCACACGGTGAATGGTCACATGTACCCTGCCGAGGTGTGTAGACGCCATCCCCTTGACACGGGTGTGGTGGGTCTCCAGCTCCCCGAGGGTCTCTGCGGGGGCTCTGAGCACGCGGTGAATGGCCATGTGTACCCTGCCGAGGTCCCTGATGGTCTCTGCGGGGGCTCTGAGCGTCTGTGCAGCGGGGACCTTATCAGGGCAAAGCCACACTGTCGGAGTCCCAGGTGGGATCGGGGGTCAGGACTTGGCCTGTGGGACGGGGTGGGGCCCTGCTGGTCCCCCAGGCGCTTTACCATGGCTGTCGGGAGACCGGGCAGGCGGCCACCGATCGTCCACCCAGCCACCCAGCCACCGGCCCGCCCAGATTTCTCATGTACTCCAGGTTAAAATAGCTTAAAGCATGAAATGTGGGTGGGGGGGGAGAACTTATACAGCGAATCAGTGAATGGGCGCACAGATCCGCTGCGAGGTAAGGGAGTGGCCTTGGGCTCGGTTCTCTCCCGTGTCTCAGCTGCACCTGGTTCACTGGAATTCCGCAAGATACCAGAGCTACCGGGAGGCCGTCGTGGGAGAGAAGGGGCTGGCAGTGGTCGGCGTGTTCCTCAAGGTGACCGCTTGCGTGCCAGGGGGACGGTGGCGGGGGTGGCGGTCCTGCCTGTGGCCTCTGCCCTCTGACCTTGCCCGCGTCTGCCCTGCAGCTGGGGGCGCAGCACCAGGCTCTGCAGCAGCTGGTGGACGTCTTGCCAAAAGTCAAGCACAAGGTGAGCGAACGTCCTTGTCCCTCGGTCAGGCCCCTCGGGGGGGGGGGGGGGCTGGAAGGGCCTGGATCCGGCAGGGCCCCCAGCCTGCCCGGGGCGGGGCAGGGGTCGGACTCTGCAGGCCTCCTGAGCCTGTCCCGGGCGTGACCTGCGCTGGTTTCAGAGCAGGTGGGAGTCCAGAGCTCCTTGCTGGTCCCAGGGCGGCTCACCTGGGGACCGGGGGCTCCAGGCCGCGGCCGGGGGAGGGGCGCCGCGGGAACGTCCAGCGATGGAGTGGGAAGCCCAGAGCCCTGAGTTTGTTTTCTCAGGACCTGACAAAGCACCCAGGGCGGAAGGAAGCGGCCAGCCGAGGTGGGGACGCGCAGGCTTCCACCTGTGTGCACAATGGCGGGAGGGGCTCCGGACGGCAGCGGGCGGGGCGCGCCCTTTGATGTGCCCCTCGCCTCCCCTTGATGTGGGCCCGCAGCCGCCGCCGGTCCCGCGGCTCAGGAACTCGGCAAGGCCGCTGCCGCCCGTGCCCTTCCTCGCTGGGCCGCAGCCAGTGTCGGCCTGGGCCGCGGGATGTTTTCCAGCCCCGCCCACCTCAAAGAGGGGCTGGACGTGCTGCCTCACGGGGGCCTCCTTCCCCCTGCCGCCCTGGACGTCCCCGGGGAGGGGGGGGGCTGCTGCCCTGCTGGCCCCAGCGCCACCCTGTGGGCTCACCACTGTGCCTGGGAAATGCCAGTCCTAGGTTTTTGCCTTATTCCTCCCCCGAGCCGCAGGTGCAGGCGAGCTCCGGGGATGCAGGCAGTCCTGGGGCCGCGGGCAGTGCGGTGGGAGGACTCTCGGCCCCCGGAGAGCGGAGGTCGGCTCCTCTGCACCTCCTGGGAAACAGAGCAAGCAACGGTGAATTGGGAGCCGAGGGCTCCGCGTGGGGCACGCGCTACCGTGAGCTGCCGTGCGTGTGCCCGGGAAGAGCGGTGACCTTGGCACCCAGTGATGGAGGACGGGTGACACCCAGCCCCAGAGGGGGTCAGCGCACGTGGATTCCGTGGCTCACGTGTCGGGGCTGTGTGGACTGAGGCTCAGCGGCTCTTGCGTGTTCTGGCCCTGTGGGACACAGGCCGAGGGCCTTGCAGCACTGAACATGGGCTAACCCACGTGCCTGCAGTTCACTTCCCGGTCTACACTCAAGGAACCGGAAGCAGGGCCTCGGCACAGCACCCGGAAGCCGGGAGGGCAGGGGGCAGGAGGGGTGGGCGCGGGGGTCCGTCGCACTGTGGACACCTTCAGCCTTCAGAAGGAAGGGGTCACGCCTGACGCACCTGCCACACGCTTGAACCCTGGGGACACTGCTCCACGGGGCAGGCCGGTCATGAGGGACACACCCTGTTCCACCCGCACGCTGTCCCCCAGTGGAACAGGAGCAGGACAAGGGGCATCGGCGAGGGGGCGGGGAGGTGGGGAGCTTTAGGAGAGGGGTGGCCGTGGCCGCCCTGGCGGGAATGGCCGGGAGGCTCCATGTCAGGTTCTGTAGATTTCGTCACAGGAAAGTGAAGTATTTCCACAGCCCGCGTCTGCAGAAGGGCGTGGCTTGAGGAGCACTGAGGGGGCGGGGCCACGCTTTCCCGGGGCGGGGCCGTGCTTCCCGGGTGGGCAGAGCTGCAGACACCGGTGGGCCCACGCTTTCCTGGGTGGGCAGAGCTACAGGCATGGGTGGGGTCTTCCCGTCTTCCCGGGGGTGCACACACAGGCCCTGGGGGTCCCTTCGCACAGCACCTGGGCCCCCCAGCTGACGCAGGTGTGTGCTCCTCCATCTCCCAGGACATGCGGGTGGCCATTGGCCCCTTCGACCCCTCCTGTCTGCTGCCCGCCTGCCGGGACTACTGGACTTACGGGGGCTCCCTCACTACCCCGCCGCTGGCTGAGTCGGTCACCTGGCTCATCCACAGAGAGCCCATCGAGGTGGCCCAGGAGCAGGTGAGCAGCGGCGGCCGGCGCTTCTCTGCTGAGGCCCGTGGGGCCGTGGGGCCGTGGGGGCCGTGGGGGCCGTGGGGGCCGTGGGGGCCTGTGCGTTGCCTTGTTTTGGATGTCCGTGTGACAGGGGTTCCAGGGATCTCAGCTCCTCGGATACTTACACAGGAGAGAGAGGGAGAGGGAGAGAGAGAGAGGGAGAGGGAGAGGGAGAGGGAGAGGGAGAGGGAGAGGGAGAGGGAGAGGGAGAGGGAGAGGAGAGGGAGAGGGAGAGGGAGAGGGAGAGGGAGAGGGAGAGGGAGAGGGAGAGGGAGAGGGAGAGAGGGAGGGAGAGGGGTGAGGAGGGGAGAGGCACCTGATAGGGGTGCAGCCCTGCCATCGGCCCTCGGATCCTGGGGGGTTGGGACCATGTGTGAGGAGCCTCCGAGGACACACAGGTGCGCAGGCCAGCACCCCCCGCCCCGGCCTGGGACCGGGAAAGTCATTGCAGCAGACAGAAGTGACCTGGTCACTGGCCGCCTAAGCTGACCGGCCGGAGCCGTCCTGCAGAGGTGCTCGGTGGGCTCTGAGCACCAGCGGGCGCGAGCCTGACCAGCGTCTTCCGGTCCCGAGAGGGAGACGTGGATGCAGCGCCGCGGCAGCGTCTGTGCGGAGCGTGCTTGTCCCCACGCACCAAGGAACAGACGCTCCCACACGCGGGGGCTCAGAAGGCACCGAGCGTTAGGTACCCCTGGAAGCGACTCTGGGTTAGGAGCAGGGGGCTGTGGCCGGCGGTCTCCTGTGGAAATGTGGGCAGGTGTCAGCTCTACTTGTCTGAAAGCTTGGCTCGGGCGGGAGGATACCTCCCCACTGCGGCCCACTCACAGCTGCAGGTGGCGGGCGGGGCCTCAGGTCCTGTCCACGGGGTGCGTTCCACCGTGGCCCACTCTCACGGCTGGGCCTCGGCTCCCGTGGGAGTCCGCCTGAGCTGCCTGAGCACCCTCACCACACGGCCGCTGGCTTCCCCAGGGCAGCCGTCCCAGTCGCCAAGGGGGACCTAGCCTGGGAGCCAGCACTGTCCCTGGTCTTACAGGGCCATCCCCGGTGCAGGCGGGGCCTGGGACAGGATCACTCCGCACCTGCTGCAGGCTCTCTGGCTGCTCTGTTCCAGCTGTCAGCCTTCCGCACACTCGTGTTCTCTGCGCCCGGGGAAGAGGAGAAGATGATGGCAGACAACTTCCGCCCGCTTCAGCCCCTCATGGGCCGGAAGCTCCGCGCGTCCTTCCAAGTCCCCGGAGGGGGTGACCGCCAGTCACCGTGCCCCTGTGGGTAGGTGGCACCACATCCCGTTTCACAACCGGGTCATGTGTGACTTCTGAGATAAAAAGAGAACAGGATCATTGTTTCCGTCACCGTCACTCCCCGGAAACTTGAGTCCATGGTGCATGGGTGTCATGGGACCCGAGGCAGGTGCCTGCTTGCCCCGGGGACGGAGCGGTCACCACTGACCCAGGCGGGTGCGTGGTAGCCCCAGGAACCAAGCAGTCAGCACCGACCCCCGTGGTCACCCTCGGCCTCTCCCGCTGTGCCCTGTGTCCTTCCACGGCTGTCACCCTCCCGTGGTCCCCAGGCAGCACAGACATCAGAACCAAGCTTCTTTCCCACTTCCAAATTCCTGACTGTGTCAGGGGCCTGGGACCTCCGCGTCCACGCTGTATCTGCAAAGGCCCTTTAACACATCAGGTGATGTCCACGGGTTCCGTGACTGGGACGTGGACATCTAGGCCACGCTCCATCCCCACACTGTGCAAAACACTGGCAACTTCGGCCAAGCTGTGGCCCACAGCGTGGAGTCCTCCGGGGTGGCCAGGGAGGGGGCCGCCTGGGCACGGGGTGGGGGTGGCGGCATTGGAAGTGTTCTGGCGTAGCAGCATCCCGCAGTGCATGCTGGGGCCATGGAATGTTCTGGAGCTGCACTGACCATACGGCAGACCCTGGGCACACGTGGCCCCGGGAAGTGAGGTCATGGAGGCGATCACGCAGCGCCTGCCACACGGGTGTGAGGAACTCTCTGCCGCCCACTGGGGCACAGGCCTCTGAGCTGGTAGAGCCGGGCCAGGGACTGGGCGTGCCGGGTGCACAGACGGGGCCGGAGGACACATTAGGGACATTGCTGAGTCACTGGGGAGGGCCCAGCCCGCACTGTCCCTGGCTGCTGTGGACAGGGACGTGTGGTGTGCACACCTCCAGGGACCCGAGCAGAAGCAGGCGACTCGTCCCCCAAGTGTCCTGCTCCCTCTGGGGACCTGGGTGAGGGAGGGTCAGCCAGATGGGGACCTGGGTGAGGGAGGGTCAGCCAGATGGGGACCTGGGTGAGGGAGGGTCGGCCAGATGGGGACCTGGGTGAGGGAGGGTCGGCCAGATGGGGACCTGGGTGAGGGAGGGTCGGCCAGATGGGGACCTGGGTGAGGGAGGGTCGGCCAGAAGCCATCAAAACAGATGCAAAATAGCAGAGCACTGGGTGGGAGTGGGGGTCTCCAGGTCAGCCTCCGCGTGGAGGCTCCCCTCGCCTACAATCGGTGAATTAGGGGCCGGTGCTGTGGCGCAGCGGGTTAAGCCGACATCCCAGATCAGAGTCATGGTTAGGGTCCCGGCTGCTCTGCCTCTGATCCGGCTCCCTGCTGTGGCCTGGGAAAGCAGCGGGGGACGGCCGCAGTGCTTGGGCCCCTGCACCCACGTGGGAGACCCAGGTGGAGCTCCTGGCTCCTGGCTTCAGCCCGGGCCGGCCCTGACCGTGCAGCCCTCTGGGCAGTGAACCGCTGGATGAAAACTCTCTCCCCCAGCCGCCTGTCGCTTCCTCTGCCTTTCAAGTAGAGGAAGATAAATAACCATTTTAAAGAGGAACCGACTGCGCAGAGGTGTTTCCTGAGGGACGGTCCACACCTCTCCCCACACACCTGTGCCGGGCCCTGGCAGGCACCACTGGTCAGAGCCACACAGGCTGCGGTGGGGGTGGGGCCTCGGCCCGGCAAGTGGCTCCGCAGCCCCCACATGACCGGGCTGTGCAGCCAGGGCGAGCACCCAGGCACCCAGTGCAGCCATGGGACCAAGTCCTGAGAATCTGTCCCCACTGTTTAACGGGGAAACCGAGGCACACTCAGGAGGCCGAGAGGCATGGCGCCCCCTTGGCCTGGGACTAGGCAGCGCCTTTCTCCCGCCTCTTGGATGGGGCCAGGGATGGGGGCAACAGAAGCTCGAGGCCCAGGAAGCCCAGGCCCGCAGCCCGCGGGCATCAGCTGTGGCAGAGGGACCCGAGTGCAGGCCAGGTCCCCGCTCAGGCTGCTGGAGCCTCCAAGAGCTCCCGGGCCTCTGAGCCTGAGCTGGGGCTGGGGGCGGCAGAGGCGGCTACGTCCACGGCGATCTGGGCCCCGGCGCCCTGTATCACCATGCCCGGCGCCACAGGCACGGCACAGGCCTCGTGGGCGGCCCTGATGCAGGGTGGGGCCCCGGCTCCAAGCGTGCCGGCGTCTCTGCCTCATGCAGACGCTCGCGTCTCTCGGCTATTTTGGAAAAGCGGGGTCCGCCCGAGGTTCTGAGATACTCCGGGAAGCAGACGCGGCTGGGACCCTTTGCTGTGAAGCCACAAACAAGTGGAGAGGAAGCGCTGTTGACAGAAGCCCTCAAAGCAGCCGCACAAAGCAACAAACAGAGGCGGCCCGGCCCGCCCTGCGCCGCTGCCAGCTGCGCGGTGGCCGGCACGGGCTCCCGGCTCTCGGCGGCTCACTGCCGACTGCATTGTTCAGTTCTGGCCCAGCTTAAAGTTCAAGGTCTCCTCCCTTTGCTTTCATGTTATTTTCTCGTTCTGAAAACCCCTGTGTGTGGAGCTCTGCCCCTCCCCCACCCCTTCCCAGGCTCCGTGCAGACAGGCCAGGCCCGGCCAAAGCCCTCAGCACCGTCCACTGTGGGCAGAACCCACTCTTCCCACGCAGTGGGGAGGGGCCGCACACCCACTGGGGTGGGCTTGGACATCCCCTCCCCCTGCCCACTGCACCCCAACACCTGTCCCCCACTCAGAGCCCCTGTACCCCATGTCAGCCAACAGCCCCTCCGTCCACCCAGGGCCAAAGGCACACCTGGAGCCCCCCAGTCTCCCCAACCCTTTCCCCCACATTGGGGGGTCCTGTTGGGGGGTCCCAAACCCACGCACCTGGCTGTCTCCTCTGCACCCACTTAGCTTCTGCCTTCGTAGCCCCTCCCCTCCCTCCACCCCACTCCCATCAAATCATTCTTCATAGCAGTGCAGACTTATTTTTGAGAGCGTAAACTTGTTCAAAGCCAAGGCTTCCTGATGCCAGTGACGAGGCCCAGTGTCCCCCTGCCTGGCCCGGGGGCCCCAGGATCTCTTCTGCGTCCACCTGCACCTGCCTCTTCCTGTCTCAGCTGCTTGCCCAGACCACAGCCCTGCCCTGCCTCAGCCGTGTGCATCAGGCACCTGCCTGTTGGCCGCCTCTTTCCTTTGTGGTCCGGAAGGCCCTGGCGCCCACGTGCCTTGCTCACCAATGCACAGACTGAGCAGCTGTTCCGTGCCAGCGAGGTGAGTCAGGGACGTCCTGCCCGCCCCTGCATCTGGGCACGTGTGTCCCCTGCTCTCTCCTCTGCTCCGAGGCCTGGCCCAGGCAGCAGCGTCCCTGCCCTGGGTCCTGTGCACCCGCTCACAGTTGCCCTCCAGACGGCACAGGGTCACAGAGGCGCGTGTGCGCCAGTCACATGCAGGCTGCGTGCCTCCCAGACATCCTGCCCTTGCAAAGCCAAGTGAGCAACAGGCGGGTTAGAGAGATCAAAAAGCAGGCGTGAGTCCGGCATCTGCCGTCTTAGCATGCAGAGCTTCGGAGAAAGCGACCGATGCAGGCACGGGGCAGCGCGGGCGGCACAGAGACGTGGGCCTGGGGAGGAGCAGCACGGAACAGCACGGAACAGCACAGAGACGTGGGCCTGGGGAGGAGCAGCACGGGGCAGCGCGGGCAGCACAGAGACGGGGGCCTGGGGAGGAGCAGCACGGGGCAGCGCGGGGCAGCACGGAACAGCGAGGGGCAGCACGCAGAGACATGAGCCTGGGGAGGAGCAGCACGGAACAGCACGGAGCAGCACGGAACAGCATGGAACAGCACGGAACAGCGAGGGGCAGCGCGGGCAGCACAGAGACGTGGGCCTGGGGAGGAGCAGCACGGAACAGCACACAGACATGAGCCTGGGGAGGAACAGCACATGGCCGTGGAGGCTTTGTGCAGTATAGGGCCCTGTGTGTGTGTGTGTGTGTGTGTGTGTGAAAAATATCCCCCCGGGCGTTTTCTCAAATAAAACAGATCTCTAAGTGGTGACACTCGACCTTCGCAGCTTCTCCTGTAAGCTGAAGGGGAGACGCAGCGACACCCAGCCCGCGGCCACGCCGAGGCCATGGGCAGCCCAGCCCAGCCCAGTCTGCGGCACCACCGGGAGCGAGGTGCCTGCCCGCGGCGCCAAGGACCCCAGCACTGAGGGTGTGCGTGCTTGCGTTAGTGCCCGGGGGGTTCCCTCCGTGAGAACTCCCGGTGGCCGCGCGGGAGCCTGCTGGGAGCGGTGAGATGTTTGCACATCGGGGAGTTGCTTTTTAAGCAGAGTGAAACGTGCTGATCCTCTAAGCAGAGTGAAACGCGTGATCCTCCTCCCACACTTCGGGGGCTCAGAGGGGGCACCGTACATGCGTGTCGCGGGCTGTTGGTCCCTATGTGCAGGAGCGGGGGAGGGCTCTTCCCGTGCCCGTGTGCGACTTCGCATCTCACACGCAGCACCGCCCCCCACCCGGGCTTGCCAGACCCTGTGTGAGCAGAGGGCCGCCCCAAGCCCTGTGGTGATTGCGACCGGCAGGGGGCAGCCAAGAGACCGTGGATGTGCTAAGAAGTGGACAAAGCATGGTGGAGGCAGGGAGTGAGGCTGGAGTCCCGAGAGGGGTCCGGGCCGCCTCCCAAGCAGCTGGCATCTGAACTAGGCCCTGGGGCCGGGGGTGAGCAGGGGGCAGTTCTGGGAAGTTCAACGAATGGCAGAGACCGGCGTGGCACCAGGACAGTGAGCAGGGCCAGGCCTGGCTGCCTTGGGGGCTTCACTCAGCCCGAGGAGCTGTGCGGAGGAGGAGGAGGACTCTCACCCCTGCTCTCAGAGAGGCAGGGAGCAGCGGGGAGGGGTCTGGCACACAGGCGCCCTGTGCCCTGTGCCCGGGCAGGTGGGGGAGCGGCTGGGGGAGGGTCAGGGCGGGGGTCTCCCCTGCTGTGACTCTAACCTCGCTTCCGTTGTTCTCAGCTTTGACCACGGCTTCCTCTCTGTGGGTCTTGAGGAGGCAGCCTCCCTCGGCAAGGACACCTCG